GGACCCCTCCCCATCCAAGTTGGAGCACCATCGGTCTAGAATCGACAAGCTCTGCCGTATCTGTGGGCTTTGTGAATCTTGTGCACTTAGGTTCGAGAGGTTGGAATGGAAGCGGAGCTTGCGTAAGGAACGCAGGAAAGGATAAGTAATGGAGGGGAAATGGATGAGGAAGGGAAGTTTGGATGATTGAGGGTATGAGAAGTGGATGAGAAAGGGGAGTTTGGATGAGAGAGGGTATGAGAAGTGGATGAGAAAGGGGAGTTTGGATGAGAGAGGGTATGAGAAGTGGATGAGAAAGGGGAGTTTGGGATTTTAAGACAGGAAGAGGATTCGGTGTCGAGGACGCTGATGGAGATGCAGGGAAGACAGGGTAGGCTGGCGCGACGAAGGCACTGCCCCATAACTAATGAAGGATGATCCAATGATTGCGCAGTATGGATAGGCAACTATCCTTACTGCGCTCTCATTGGTTAAATCCGAAATGACGTTATAATCAATCCCATAAAAGGAGGTAGTAGACGGAGCACACTGCCATTCTTCATTGGATCCATCCGCACCGCCGGGGAGCGTGGTGTTGGCCGGTCCTTGGGTAGGGTGGTGTTGAGGGAATGGGTGTAGAGAAGCAAATTTGAAAGATGAATGATATTTAAATACCCACCTCCCCACCCGGGTTTGGAACAGAGTCTAATACTTCTTGACATCCAGAGGACTGGCCACGCCGCGCGACTTCGGCACTGCCCCATAACTAATGAAGGATGATCCAATGATTGCACAGTATGGATAGGCAACTATTTGTCCTTGTCTATTTAGTTGTTATAGTTACTTATCAATGCAAGTAATTTAAACCTCCTCCGTACAAGAGAAATAAAAAATATTTTTTCCTGCTGTGTGTAAAATGTTGGCTTTGTGGCTAAATTATGTTTGGGGCTATCAAAGAGTGCCTATTTCTTTAACATTTCAATCTTTATTTCGTACACTTGTTCTTCTTCTTCTTCTTATGCAATACTGAACAAAATCCCGCAAGGGACATCACGTCCAGGTGCCCGCCTCAGTGTGGCCGGTGGTGGTGGTGCAACTGTGCTCAATAAACTTAACAAAACTTGTGCATTCAAAAATATAACAAGAAAAATGATGTGTTGGCCACACTAAGTATACATAATATTTACATATGGGGTTGGGGGAGGCCCATGTGTTGGGCCAGCCCCCGTTTAAACAAATCAAGTGACTTGGCAGTAACTACTTGAGACGGGAGGTCATTCCATTCTATGGTTGTTCTAGGGAAATAGCTAGTTCTAAATGTCTCTGTCTTTGTTGTAAGAGTAATAAAGCGGAAGGGATGACCTCTAGTTGTATTTGTGTTCAGTGTCAAGTAGTCGTGTATGGGTACTGCTGCCAACTGGTGGACGGACTTGTACATAAGTGTTAAGCGTGCTTGTTTTCTGCGCTGCTGCAGTGTGGGAAGGCCAAGTGATGTTCGGAGTTGTGTTACACTGGTTGAGTACCTGTAATCCCCACATACAAACCTAACTGCTCGTCGCTGTACAGATTCCAACTTCTCTATCAATGTGTTTGATTGTGCATGATTCCGTACCTGTGGATCCCAGACAGCTGAAGAATACTCCAATTTTGGTCTGACTAATCTATGCATAATTTAGCGTTTGTTACTTTGCCAAAATATTCTTGGGTTTCAGTCACGTGACCCGACCTTAGCGACGGGTGTTATCCGCCATTTTGGTGTACCTACAACCCCGCGTAGCCTATGCGCTATGTACATGGTTCATTGTTTTGTATCTGGTTGCGGGTCAAAAAAAGTGGTAAACACAGTGTATCTTTTCAATGTGTGCCAAGGTGATTACAAATCAAGGAAAGGACCAAGAAAAACTGACCGAAAAACATCGCAGATTGTGGATTTTTGCGATCATCCGCGGGGATACGGCCACAGAAATATCCCGAGATTGTGGCGAGTTACTATAGCCAAAGACTCTGGGCAAGCTTCACCCGCCTGGGTCCGACACAATGTTGCCTGGGTCCCTACTAAAAAAACCTTGGAAGAAAGAAGTACAGAGATTGGGACGAAAGCAAAGAACAGAAGGAGGGGCGAGGGCCGAAAGGGCGAGAGAACGCAACAAGCGGGCCGCGGAACAGTCGGGTCTGGCGGCTTGACCGGGCGGGGCTTCTGACGCCAAAAGCCGCCCGACGCCACACTGCTGGATATCGCGTACGTGATCTTCCCTACACCGAGGTCAGAAATGTCCCTGTACATGCAGAAATGGCACCCAGGAATTTCCATTAAACATCGACAAAACAATAGTTTACACGGTGCAAGTGAATTTATTTTGATACACGTGGCAGTCTGACTCAATATTTGAGCCTTAGTGCTAAAACTCCGAGTTCACCCTGACAGCCCAAAATTACCGATCTTAGCACTAAAATTGCGTTAAGATTCTGCTTATCATGATACCCTAATATTGTAATGTCAATGTTCACAAGCTAATTCATGCATAAGTTGTGAGAGGTTACCCAAAAACTTTTTTTTCACGGCAAAACTACAACTACGGGTACGTAAACAAAATTATGCCCGGAGGCTCCCCTCCCAACGCCGATGATTTACTCTCGCAAACTCGAGGCGGCCAACAAAATTTCTGTCGACAGGGATGACAAGCCGTCATGTGAAATTCTCATTCTAATGGGGTTCCAACAGAGACATGAGTACTTTTTGGTGCTTGAAAAAATATTCATGAACTCCAGTTTGTCAGCGGCAAAACCGAAGGGGCTAGATGAAAGTGCACAACAAACAAAGCCGCCGGCGGGCATGAATCAAACTGGCATTTTGCATTATTACACACAGAACCCATAATTTTGAAACAGCAACCGATAGTAAAACAAGGATTTACATTACCAAGAAAAGCTGAAACTTAGGCTTACCATAATTTGATTGGGGGATAACCCGTCCGCTCCACTCGAAATTGTTGTTTACCATTCCGCTACGCGAGCGAGTCACAAGTTGTCCGAGAAGGAATCAGACACACGGGTGACCCGCGCACAGAGAACTGTCCAAAACACACTTCCCAGAACCTCTCTCTCTCTCTTAATTCATTTATTGAGAAAAAAAATAGACTAGAGTGACCAACATACGGATCCTGTCCACTGTAGGACTGTGAAGGAGATACTAGTAGCGTTTATAAATAACGTTAGTCTTTGAAGTTCGTTCACACATACGCAAGTTTTGTCGTCCTATATCCTTTGTCATCGTATCCTTTGACTTCCTATCCTCTCAAAAATGTACAATTTCATTGAAAACCTTGTCATCTGTCAACCATCAAAGACTGCAGAATTATCGTGTGGCTGTTAATTACTTGTATGGCTTCGGTGCCAACGTCTTGACACTGCATAGCACTACACCGAGGTACACCAAAATGGCGGCCGCCTGTATTACGCAAGCCCCGTGACGTCACGTGAAAGCCGAGAATTGGGCTCGCAACTTGTGATCTTGCGAGCGGCCGGCCCTCCCCCTTTTCTTAAATGTGTCTTGTCAACAGATATCTGTCGGCATACTGTTTCTTTTAAGCTCCATCCCTGGGAAGGAACGTGACAAACAACATCAATAAACCTCTATAGTGAGCTGCACTGTTAAAATCCACTAATTGGGCATTTAAGACAATTTAAGAGCAGACAACAACAAACCCACCTGCACTTCTGCTGCCGCCATAACCTTTGACATTACGGCGAACACATCAAAATGTAAACATCGCAGTCCTGTAAATTACAAAAAGTTAGGAAGCGAAATAGAGATCTGTTCTTCAATAAATCAGAATATAATTTGTATTGTCTATCGTAGAAGTTAAAGGAAAGTTTATGGTAAAGTAAGACTATGTCACGCGTATGTTTATTGCGTTTGGTTACCGTGTGAAAAAAACGCGGGAAATTCAAATACGTACAGCAGCGTGACATGACGTCATCGACTACCAAATTTGTTTCCCTTGTACCAAGGAGGTTTAAATGTTTTAAAACCTTTTGCAACCTTTTGAACCTCCTTGCTTGTTACATCGTCCTCATTCCAAACACTTGAGAAGACGTCTGCTCCTGCCATAAGACTCTGTACGTAAGATGACGTTATCCACACATGTATTTAGCTTTGTTAGATCTTTAGTTCAGTTGTAGAAGACCATACAAAAGTCTCTGTACTTTTTTGTTGTGTCAATAAAGAACTAGAAATGCAAATGCATAATGTTTACCTTCGGATATAGTCTGCTCTGTTAATTCTTCCTCATTCACATATATGTGCGTGTACATGGTGACATGAGTCTAAATGCCTTCTATGAAATCGCAACATTATGTAACCCAACACCAGTTACTATGGTGGCAGACGTTAACAAAAGAGGTCATTGGCCAGGTCAGAGGTTAGTGTTTGGAACAGAAGAAGAAGAAGAGGAAGAAGAAATGGAGCAAAAACAATATGTTTTCCTTCGGTAAACATAATCACATCATGACGGAAGATGTTCAAAATCAGCGCTTTTAAAACACAGTCCAGCAAATCTCTTTATAATGGTTAAGGTTAAAGAGCTATATATGTTTCGGCTCAGAGATGAGCCAAGAAGAATTGCAGAGTGACACTAACGTTAGCTTAATTTTTTGCTGAATGTAAAAATCTTTTGAGAAATAGCTAAATATTACAGCTCCACTGTAATTCCGCAACCTTTTTTGTTTGTTTGTTTATTTATTTGTTTGTTTTTATTTCAACATTAAAGCAAAACAATACATAGTGGCGACGTACTCAAGCGAAATAAATAGCTTACATTAACGTCACCACCGGACATACGATAATAAGGCCATGTTGATTTGATTATATGGATGACATCCTCTGGGAGCCCCAAAACTGATGCGAGCGTGCGAATAAAAAAAAGTTTTGCAAAAAAAAAAAAGTTGCTTTCATTATGAAATCTACGTGGTCATGAAGATTGAACAAATGACACAGGGTATGGTATGGCGAATAATCTACTCTTCAAATTCATTTCTTTACATTTTCGTCTTTTTCGTTTGGTTTTGACATTCTACGACATTGTTATTGTTTTCCAATACTTTTTGTGCAACTTACAGTATATATTTGCTCATTTTGCAACTGTTTTGTACGATTTACAGCATGGTTGAAATTTTTTTTTTGGAAACGGACGAAAATTGATGCGCGCGTGGATGTCATCCATATAATCAAATCCACATGGCCTAATTACAACACAAGACAAAAATATCAAATGTTTGTTTGTTTGTTTGCTCGCATTAGCACGCCAGTTTTGCACAGTAAAGTACAAGCTGCGTAAGCTAGACCAGGCTGAAATAGTTGATCCATATGCATTCACACCAGGATGGACCCCTTCTCTTATCCATGGGCGAAGAGGGTCCATTATTAGAGCTGTGTACCGGTACGCAGTACCGATACTGTACCGGAAAAATTGATTAGGTACAGGTCCAAAATACCTAATCCCTCAGTACCGGTACTGTACCTAAACAATTTCACACCATGCCTATTTGTGACTTCAAATGTGTATAAAGGTGGTTAACAATGGGTCCCTGTGTAAGGACAGCGTGTTCATGAAAACAAAACACTTAGTTTTGCCTATATTTTATCTGAGCATTCGCCATAAACAAAGAATAAACCTTAACTATCAAGTTTATTTATGTTTTTTTGTTATTGAAGGAGTTCAGAAGACCATATAAATTGGTCGAATTGTTCAGGTACAGGTTCAGGTCCGGACCTGTACCTAAACCTGTGTACCTGTACCTGTACCTGTACCTAAAATTTGTTTAGGTACACAGCTCTATCCATTATAACTCGCTATCGTTGAATCACAGGGCCTCCTATTTACGTCCTATCCAACCCTGAGGACGTGCCTAACGAAAGGTAAGTACTCATTTCCCCCGGCCCAGTGAGTCCAGGGAAATTGGTTGGAAAGGCACTTAACGATAAAAGTACCTTTCCCAAGGGCATAATATTTTTGAGACCTGCTAGGAATTCCAACTCAGAACCAACCCTAGCCTAACCTAAAGACCACCATGCCACCGTTAATAACGTTATCAACCAATAATTGAGGCGTTTTCCAAGAACTATCGTAGAGTGGAACTCGTTGCCTCCAACAAAGCACAGTTGGGGCATCATCACTAGTAAGCTTTTAAACAACTCCTGCAATTAAATGTGCAAAGATTGGCTGTAACAAGTCGTTCGGTGTGATATAGCTAGCTGCCGCCGCGCCACGTGCCTGCGAAGCTGGTGTGTTACGCCGACGAGCGGTTATACCGGCTATACAGATACAGATACAGTGTACAGATACAGAATAGACCTCCTTACGACAGATAAGTACATAAAAGCACTAACCTTTAGTACTAGTCTTGCCTTTGTATGTATTGAACCCGTTTGTGTGTGTACTCTTCAGTGTTTACCAAGGTGCGCCTGCATGCCTGCGTGTCTGAAAGGACACACACCGTCTTGTTTGTTCTGTGCCGATACAGGTAAATGTTTTCGCAAGCGGCAGTTCATATCAAGGTTCATCTTAGGTCGGGTAATTGTAGCACAATCAGTGAACAGTCCATGACATGGAATAACTGGGAATAGAAGGTAAAAAAAAAATTAAAAAAGATAAAGTAAGATGTTCAATTTCATTTCCCTTTCTCTCTGATTGCCAAAGCAATTCTTGTCGATTTTTCTCTATCACACACAAAATCTTTTCTTTTGCTTTAAATTATATAGTTTCCGTGACAAATCAACGTACTACTATTAACAATCAGATTCAGCTTTACTTAATATACTGTCTTCACATGTCAAACATATGCATACAATAGACTGAGCACACAATACAGAAAAGTTTAAAGTACGAGTTAATTATTTAGATTAAAAAGCTATACATTAACAAGTGATGATATGCAATTTTGTATTGTTTTCGATCTGGAGCTGTGCCATAGTCTCCATCGGACCTTTCTTCTGTCAACTAACAACATAACTCTTTAATACAAATTGGCCAAGTAGACAGTAGTTTGTCATAGGAGCGTAGGCTTTAGGAGTGAAACATGCAGCCAAGACTTTGGACAATTTCTACTACCTAAGCATCCCACGCAAACGTCTGTAGGACACTAGGATCATCACTGGATTTAATAAGGAGTTCGAGACCTTAAGGTTGTTGTCAAACATGTGTATACGAGTAGTAACTAGAAAGGTATGTAATATTTACAAGGCAAATGCACGATGTTAACCTTCGCATATGGTCTGCTCTGCTAATTTTTGCTCAAACACAATCATATATATGGTGACAGGAGTCTAAATCCCTCCTGCTATGAAATTGCAACATGATGTAACCCAACACTAGTCACCATGGCGACAGACACAACATTGGTTCAGGTCAGAGGTCACTGGAGAAGAAGAGGAAGAAGAAACTAAGCAAAAACAATGTGTTTTCCTTCGGTAAACATAACAAAACTTAGTAGTCCAACTACATCAGTTCAGCTTCTTGCTCCGTTGCATTATGTTGAAGACGTAGGGTGGAATTGCCCGTCTAAATGGGTTTGACAAAACTTGTATTTAATACTAGTATAACTTCTGCTTAAAAAAAACACGATCACCACGAGATTACCACATACACAGATCGATATTTTGCTGCTATCATGTCCAACTCCTATATGTGCCCATATTTCAATATGTGCATGAAGCTTAAACAACATACTTTTTATAATGAAACATCCAAATTTTTTAGATCGGTATCTGCATTTGTGGTCTCTTTATTAATAGAATCGTTCCTTTTAGCAAACTCAGTGCCTTGTACATGCGTTGCGCTAAATATTGAGTTCATATAAAGTTCATATCACGTTACATATATGTGCAGGCTGAGATTGATAATTGAAGCCCATATTTATGGTAATTGAAATATACATGAATAATTAATTGTCACGGGGGGATTAAAGTTAATGTCAGTCACGTATCGATGAGGGCCAAATTAATAGGAATTATGAGTACACCGATCTTATAGTGACGCTGCCTCTGTCATGCCAAACACGCAATGTCTGATTCATTGTGTTTGGGGTGAAGTCTGTGTATGTGTGCGTACGTGTGTGTGCGTACGTGTGTGTGTGTGTGTGTGTGTGTGTGTGTGTGTGTGCGTGTGTGCGTGCGTGCGTGTGTGATAACTTAGATTGAAAACCCTTCGACCTTTTCAAAATCATTCTACACACGTATGCGGCATAAACCATAAAACGCCATACCTCGCAGTTACAATCATGCACGCTTTGATTTCGTGATGTCCATACTGGCTGCACTCATGTACACGCACCCATAACCATTTCCCTGCTGATAAAACGTCACAGATCATAATTTACGATCTTCCACCATTGCGCGTGGCACCGACAACATGTTGTACAGGGTACTGCCCGCAGAAAAGTGAGCGGTGCTGCCCATAATTTGCGGTGTCATGATTTCGTGACGTTTGCCGCTCAGACAACATTATGACAGTGCAGCCCTCATTAGACCCCATTCTTCACGGCATGTTGGAATCGATTACGCGGCGTGAGATACGTGTATAACCCGCGGGCAGAACCTGCACGGTACGGGCTCATACACGAAGCAGGACAGTACAACATCACACACTCTGCTACACTACAGCTCTGTCTGTTGAAAAGACGGGATTCCCATAGCATAGAAATGAAATCACGCCGAGAGTAAGACACCTCTTTATCTTGTCGCTGCAAGGCTTTTCTTGGGGGGATTTTCTCCGGGAGCGGGCATAAAGGGGCCAGATGAAAAGGGAGGCTCTACGCGTCATGACATAAGCCGGGACAGATTCGGCGCCGGCCGTGCTAGAATACCCGATTGCAGGGTGACTCAATTCTGCAATTCCCAAAGAAATAGCTAGAACGGGCAAATCGTTTTTGTATCCCTTTCGAGAAAACGTTCCATCGGGACCGACGCGTTTTTGTGTCGTACCTTACAAACAATTTTCACAGCATGGACAGAGACAGAGCTGCGCAACGCCCACCGTTTATTTAATTACCGAGCCCCCCGATAATACATACATACGGCCACCGCGGCAAAATCATTCCTATACATGTCACTGAAGAGTGAAGGAATGGACGGTCTGGTAAAAATGTATCGGAATTTGATATGATTTTGGCATAATTTCAGTCCGAATCGGGTAGTCCCCTGATTATTACGTGGGAGGAGGGGAGGGAGCTCTAGTGCTGATTCGTGCGACGTCACGCGTCAAACGGCCGTAGTTGCTATGCAAAATAGGGTTGTGTTTGGTCCCAGAGATACACCATAGGAATCCAAAATCAGAATGAGGCTGCTTCAATATGTGATTGCCGAGACCTACACAGACGGCCCAACTCGCTGAGGATTTTTTTGAAACAAACCCTGGATATTTTCGTGTGGGCAACGTTTAGAAGAAAGCTGAAGAAGGTTTCGGGCGAGTAGAATTTTGTTCTGGACACATCGTTAAACCGGAAGAAGCCCGACCGAGGAAACCACCTGTGCAGGTCCGACAGGTATTCCTAGGTTGGTCCGGCCGAGAGGTTGTCGCCCAGCCGTGGGTAACATATACCTTCTCTCCCCCTCCTGTCTGAGGCGGATGGAGTGACGGCAGCCGTTGTGTGGCTACGAACTGTGTGTTGTGTTGTGTTTTGCCTGGATTGAATACCGTGGTTCTCGGGTTCCACCGTGTGCCCCTGAATTGTATTGTGTACCCGCGGATCAATACGGTAGGGTTAAGATCGCCAGAAACGCGCCGTGCGGTGGTGACAAGGAATCGGGTATATGTGAAACATGGCGGGGTAAGAGAGGCCTGTGTCTCGGAGATTTCGCCGCCTTTTTCTCTGGATGGACCGACCGTCCGACCCTATCCGCAGCCCTGAGAGATGTTTCGGTGTTGTGTTGTCTACAGTCGATGATGTCGTTTGATTCCGCAGTTCTGTTGTCGCCGTGCCTAGAAGAAGGCCATGGAGCCGTCTTCCCATAACCCGAACTTCAAGCCGCTGTCCCCGGAGTCTCTGACCTGCATCGAGCAGCGACGAGTCGAGAAGGAACAGCAGGGGAAATGCTCGAAAACCGCGCTCAACGCCATGGTGGTGGCCACCACCTCCACCACGGCCAACGAGGCCGTCCAGGAGGAGGAGCTCCTGGCGGTGAAAGATCCCGACCTGCAGGACGGGCGCGTGCTCCCGCCCTCCCTCGGACCCTTCCCGGAGAAGCTGACGGGCCAGCCCCTGGAAGACTTCGATCCCTACTATCAGCGAGAAATGGTGAGTGGTCATCATACATGTTTGCGCAGCGTCTATACTGAAGGAGGGTTCGTGTGTTAACTCGGAAACTCCTGTACAAAAATGTCAGAAAATTCCCCTACATGTACATGTACGTATCACCTGGGCACAAGGGCTCATGCGACATACTTAGTATACATAACCATCGACCTAATTCTTGACTGATGGGCCCCTTCTGTATCAGGGCCCATAAAAACACAAGAACCATTTCCATAGGTGACTGCCCCCGCATATTTTAACCCTATGTGATACATGTATGAAAAGAAAGAAGGGGGAAAAAGAAGGAGGAAAAAAAGGATCTATATAAAAATGGCCTGCGTCATGTGACGCCATGTTCAGTATTTACCTGGCAACATCAGCTCATGATACATGATAACCAGCTTCTCTATGGAGAAATGCCTCGGCAAAGGGAACTCAAAACAGCGCGCACTTCTAACAGGTGTTAGCTAACGTTCGTCCCAACAGACACGGCCTGCAACAGCTTGTCTTGGACTAGTACTTACAGCAAGAGAGGAACATTTCAGGTTTTATTGGTTTAAACAATCCTGTCGATAATTTGCTTGGTAGTTTTTTAGGTGGAAATTTCCAGAATATTCCGTACAGGACTGAACTACTGGACTTGGCGGTTGTGCTTCGTAGATGGGTGATCTAAGTAGCATTCATACTTTTCTTATTCAAACATATTGACATATAGATATACTGTTTTATTTGTACAAGAGGCACCGCTCCTCAAGAACACATCACAACATCATAGAAAGTTCCTACATTCGCATCCCCCTTTCTGACATACCTACACAGTTAAACAATTCCTCCTTCTTACTTAAACATGGAAATGAAATCTTCTGTATATAACAGCGTTGTGAATAATTGATGGGATAATTAGGGTGAATAGAACTTGTACATTTATTACCCCCCGCCCCCCGTACATTACCGGTACACGGCGCGCCAGGGTGCCGGCGACTGTAGCGCCGAGATAAGGCGGACACTCTAGTGAGCGAAACGGCGCGAGGACAGGAGCACAAACCTTACACCGTGTATCTAAACCAGCCATGAAGGAACCCTGGCTCGCATGGCGGCTGGCTCAGCCTCTATTTTAGTTGTTCGGGGAAGCATGTCCGGTCCCCGTGCAGAGGTTTGGGGT